ATATATATATATATATATATATATATGTGTACACATAAATAAAATTATAATAATTATAATGATCGCAAAGCATTCTACAGTATTATAGATGTAAAATAATTGTATTAAATTAAATACTAATCGTTTAATTAATAATTGGTTAAATATAACAATAGTAAATAACATAACGCAAGAATTTATATATTTTTATTACGTTGCATGTCCAATGTGTGCTGAGTCATATACTGTAGGTCCGCAGATGTACCATTTCAAAATATTTCGTGTTTTCAGGATCAGTGGTACTTTGCATTTCGTTATCGGATTGTATACAGATACTTCAGTCGGATGTCCCATTGGTTTTATCCATTGTGGTCTGTCCCGACATTTTGCTTCGGTATTTACGAAACGTTTGGAAATTTGATTCAACTTACGCATTATACGAATCACATTCATCTTTATCTTTTTTTCCAGTTAACCTTATAATAGTCTTAATTCTTAATATCATTTATATTATTTTCTCTTCAGAAATATTTAGGTTAGACATATTTCGTCTGAATACGTTCATCTATTTATTTGGTATACAATTTTTTAAATTTACATTTTAGTTAATTCCTTTTATAATTAAAATTTTTTAATAATTTTATTAAATTTTTTAACGAAGACCCAGTATCCTAACCTGCAAGAACGCACAAGTGCCGACACTATCGACTGCCGACAGTGAGAAACATGAAAATAGTAAGATAGCTCCTTCAGTCATAAATTATAAATCTTAGTTTTCACGCCTCATCGCTGGTGGCGCTCCGATCACCCGCCATTACCGGACACGATATTTCGACACGTATTTCACCAGTCATGTTTAGTCGCTGTATCGCTCTTAGCGTATGAAATTTACTGCGCAAGAAACAAATTAGTCGTTTTGATATATTAATTGTATTTTTATTAATTGCATGTTTTATTTGTATAATACGACGTACATACAGGATGGATCGCTTCCTGAATAAAAAGCTTTATGACTGATATAATGAGTAAACAAAATTTATATCTTGCATCTGAATAATATAGATTCGACATGCGTACGCTGATAATTTGTTTGAACGCGACATTATTTTTTTATTAAATATTTGTCGAAGTTAGAAATAAAATAAGAATTGCAAGAATTCTATGTATTTATTTTAAACATAGATAATTTTTTATGTTTTAGATTAGTGTTGTATATATTACAATTTTGCTCTTATGCATCGATGCGAGTGCAATCTGAAAAAGAGAAGCGATAATCTATAGGAAGGTGGAGGAAGAAAACATTGAAAGTAGCAAGCCTAAGAAAGGCATCAGATGCTTGCACCAGTGGAGGAACCTTGTGTGGAGTAAGTATTATTTCTTACTTGCATAAAGTTTTAATAATTCTTTTTCAATTGATTCGAAATTTATTATTTTATTTCAGTAAAAAATATAAATAATTAGAGAAAGAAAAATCATCTAAAATTTTATAAAAGGTTTTTCTTGTTTTTTATAAAAACATAATAAATAATTCTTGTGAAAATTGTTTCAGGAGGTAAATAATGATATTAGTAAATATTTAATCGAAAGATAAATTAAAAATTTAATCGTGTAAGAATTGTTTTGAAACATTGATTTTATTTTGATCACTTTTTTATTTGAATTTTATATTATTTATGTGTTACAAATTCCATCTGTTGCACATTGAATTGATGAGTGAAGAATTTTTTTAATAGAGTAACGAATTTATAAAATTTGTTTTAGATATAAAATATGTTATT